CTGGACGAGGTATCCTGGCACTGCCAGGACCATACTACGCTGTGCCTTGGCAGCTAGAAAGTCCTTTTATACGAAGACATTGTCCTCCATCCTTGCTTTCTTCAAACTTCTGCCTTTGTTTTAAACCACTACTTTTTCCGCTCAAAGGCTTCCCACCACTGCTATACTCAAACTTCTTCCATTGTGTGAAACTACCACTTTTGCCCTCTCACTTGAGAACCTGTCGTACAAAGAGATCCCTTTCTTCCTCCCCACCCGGGTCTTCCCTTATCTGCACAACCTGCTCGATGCAGAATATATTAATTCAACTCTCTAAAAATGGACAGCGGAAGATAGTTCAAAAGCATCATTTATCTGTAGGGTTCTGCCTTTGCATCCCTCTTAGGAATTAATCATCATCATCATCATCATCATCATCATCATAATTTATATCCCACCCATCTAACAGAATATTAAAAACACGATAAAACATCAGACATTAAAAACTTCCCTAAACAGGGCTGCCTTCAGATGTTTTCTGAAAGTCAGATAGTTGTTTATTTCCTTGACATCTGATGGGAGGGTGTTCTACAGGGCAGGCACCACTACCGAGAAGGCCCTCTGCCTGGTTCCCTGTAACCTCACTTCTCACAGGGAGGGAACTGCCAGATGGCCCTCAGTGCTGGATTTCAGTGTCCAGACTGAATGATGGGGGTGGAGAATATGAGTAAAATATGAAAGTTTTGCAGCTTGACAAGTGATCACTGTTTGAACATTCACATTGCCAGAGGATCACAAATAAGCATGCTATATTGTGTGTAAAAGACCCAGAGCAGCAGCAGCCCAGAATATTTCCACTGTTTTATTTGTCTAAATTTATATTTCCTTGTCGTGTTACATAATGGTCTAGATTTGCTGTGCAATTTTTTTCCAGCTTTGCATTGAGAAAAATATATATTCAAACTGTGCTGGCTGCCTCAATGCAGTTCAGTTCATTGCCAGGGCTTGTGAACAAAAAGAAGGCAGTGTTTAAAAAATTTTCAAAGAGCAAAAGGTGAAGATTAACCGGCAAAAGCACAAGTGGAGATTAATTTTATGGTGGAATGTCACCACAATAAATGAGCAGCAAGTTCCTGTGGCTAAATGAATTTATATTGAGGCTGTCTTATAAATGGCATTTTAATCTAGTGGTGGAAAGAGAGGAGGGGAGAGAAAAGGAGAAAACCCTTAACTATTAAACCTTCCCAATAAGGGGAATGTATTTTGCAAGGAATCAGATGTGTTTATTTCTGGCATTCTGTTGTGAAGCTAAGTGCTTGGGGAAACCAAATCAGCATAAACAGCAGAACATGGGTAGCAGTGTTTCACTTTTTGTCCCAGTTAGCAAACCAAATTAATGCACATCAAAATGCCCTTTTCATGTTGGGAGAGGAGGAAGGTTGTCAAAAAAAGCATCATGACAAGCTACCATAGGGAGACATCCCCACAATAATCAATCGTCAATCAGTCATGGAAACTGCTTATTCTGCTTTTATGCAGCACTCTTCATTACTCCCCTTGTATAGTTCTCAAGAGGGAAGAGATAAAGGTTTCTTTCAATGAATAAAGCAATAGCTTCCTTGCTGTGAAAAACAAATCAACCAGCCCAAACATTTTATTCTGTCCTGAGAAAGGTCCCATATAGCACAAACTGAAGCAAAAGTGAAGTTCTCCTGCTATCCTACCTCTGGAAAAAGTGGAAAAAATAACCTTCTAGTGAGGAAATAACATTCCCCTCTGCATCAAAAAGTAGTCGACAAAAAATATTCTTTTACTCACTATTTGTTTATTCCATTTATTTCTCAGTCACCTTTCAGGTCTAAGCCCTCACAAAGCAGCCTGCAGAGAGAAAGAAAAGCAGTAGAAAGAGATAAATAGTTGTATGAGAGACTGAGATCACCAAAATTCTCTATGGTGAAAAGATTTGATTTAAAGGCTTCCTCCAGCACCAAAACTGAAGGGGCCAAGTGAGAGATTTCTACAACTACAGGGCCACCACTGAGAAGGCTCAGTCCTCGCCAAGTTAATTGATTTTACCACTGGCCACACAAGCAGGATCTCAGCTACAGATCTTAGATTACAGCAGGATCCTATGGGTGGAGAAAGGCCTTACATACTGCCCTCGGCCAGATGTAAAAAAATGTCTCAGTCAAATGTATGACCTTTTAAAGTCAGAAAAGACTTCTGATAAGAAAATGCATCTAAGTTTATTAAAAGGTTAATAACGCCATTACCCAAAGGTAAAGGTTAGGTAACTAAATTAAAAATGCTATGCTTCCCAAAAGTAAATGCAACATAAACGGCTTGAATTTACAGTCTTCCTCCTTAATATTATAATTCATCCCTCTCGCGGACCTGAACAGACTAATATTAGACCTTGCCAGAAGAGGGGAGAAAGCCACGGCTTGTCTCCTTTGCTGTTTATTTTTGAATCATATGCATTTTCTTTCCTCTAAGTGAGCCGACCACCAATTTGGCACCCAATCGGCACCACTAAATAACAACTGGATGCTGGTGCTCTTTGCAAGGGAAGGAGAGAGATTTTGAATTTATTTTCATAGTGGAAAAATAGGTTTGCCAAAATAGCTTCAGTTTATGGAAAGGGAGGAACAGCTGTATTTGGTTTATAATAAATCTTTGACAAATCAGTAAAAGCAAATAGACAGCACAACTGTAACCCATAAAAGTGGAAAATATTAAACAACAGGCAGTGAAGTTGTTAAACTTTCCCACAGATGCTGCTGGTAAAAGCCTTTGCAAAACATCAACGTGAAACATTCAGGAGGAGAGGAATCTGGGAGCAAAGGGGCATGAGAAGGAGATGAAATTCCTTCTTATTAGAGGAATATCCCGTTAATGTGACAACTCTAGGTATGCGGACGAAGGTCTCTCAAGCATTTCTGGGCCCCCTCCTATTACTGAATGTTGGTGCAGAATAATTACTTGCTCTCAAAAAAAAAAAGAAGAAGAAGAAGAAGGAAAAAATGACAGGACATTGACACTGCAGACTTATTGAATTTGTATTGCTTGCCTCCAGGCCATATCGGGGGTTATTCAATTTTGCCTGAGGAGGACAACCTATTATGAGAGATGAGTCAAGAAGGCATCTCCTCTGATTGCCCACCAAAACCATTATCGCAGCACTGAGAGGGCAGCAGCAGCGAGTGGACAGACAAGACAACGCTGATCTCGATTACCTAGGGACAAGATACAATTTACATTACTTGAAGCAATAGGACAGAGGGCAATCAGCCTAGGGAATAGGCCTGCAGATCAGGAGTGCAGTGCAGGTATTAACAGTACTGGAGAAACTGAGCTAATTGCTTATGCTGGGCCTGATGACCTCTAGCCTTACACGATATTAACTGATTGGCTTGATCTGTAATTAGATGAACCGACTCTACATTGCCAGGACCTGAAGTTTTCACTGATGAGGCAGTTTGGAGTGTGTGCATGGGCTCGTTCCTTTCTTTTCACAGTGGAAAAATAGGTTTGCCTAAGTATCGTACATTGTTATATATTCTGCACACATTACATATTGTTATATGCTACACACTCATTGTGTGTTGCTACGCCTTGTAGACTGATGTCTCTTATTTACAGAAGCAGGCGTCCTGTCAAGTTTAGCTCATTGTCTCAGTTTTGTGATGTTCTCATTGCATTGCAGAAACTGGCACAGAATAAAATGCAAAATTTTACCCACAATGTTTCATGAATAAAATACAGCTGTCGCTCAATACTTTTCTGCATCTAAGTGAAATAATCTTAATAGCTGTGGGGATGGAACTGGATTTGCAACCCAAGGTACAGCAAGCACATGCAATTTCTAAATTAGTTCAGCATAACAGTCATATTTAGGTATTCTTTTTCAATGTTAAACACGTGATGAGGGGAGATGGGAAATGAGAAACATGCAGTGTTATAACCAGCCAAGCTGTTTCAGAATATTCAATTCTATTCCTCTTCTTTTAGCTTTCTGTTCTCCTTTCATAACGGCCTGTCTACATCCCTGCTGAGCATGCCCAGTCATCATTGGGCTCTTTGGTGGCGGGATGTTAACCCCTTGAAGTTCTTTTCTTTCTTTTAAATAAAAGTCTGTACTTGAGTTTTCTCAAGCTTGCAGATATCTGACTCTTCTCTGTGAGTCAGAAATGGCTTGCCAGGTGGGGCGGAGCCACAACACTAATTTCCTGGCAGATGGGCTACTGTTGCTTACCAGGAATGTAAAGTGGAGGTGTGAGGCTTAGGGGAGTCAGCAAGGTGCTACCCACCTCCCCACCCTTCTCTCTCCCAGAAAACAGCAATAACCCATCTGCCATAAACTTACATTAGTGGCTCCTCGTTGAGAGAATGAGTTCAATGCTAGCATGCAGAATTGTTCTAGATAGGATTCCCAGAAGAGAGCCTCTGCCAAAGACTTTGAGGGTCCATGGCAGTGATGGACCCTCCACTAACCTCCATTAATCCCAACAAAGAGCCAGGAAGGGCTCAGATGGTCCTGAGCCTTCCTCCCTTAGAGTTCTGCCCCATTGTCCACATAAATACTTTTAATGATATTCATCTTTAGCATTCAGTGAATTGGCATCTCTTTACATTGGCCATAGCTCTTTGATACCATCACTGTTTGGCTTGCTCTTAGTTTTTGCCAGTCTCCCTAGGATCCTGCCACCTCCTGCTCTCACTCAGGATGTTCTGAGTGAGGACCTGGGCTATCATAGTGATTCCTCTTCTCCGGGCTTGTATATAGTGCCTCCTCCAACAAGCAGCCCTCATCATCATATGTTACGGAATATGTACTTTTCGTACTCAGAGGTGATCCCAGCAGTCCCAGGAGCAGTGGGATACTTTGGATCTTGTTCTCCAAGATCATAGGAAGCTGCCTTACACTGAGTCAGACTTTTGGTCCATCTAGTTTGGTATTGTCTACACTGATTGGCAGTACTTATCCAGGTTTCCAGACAATGATCCCTCACATCCTTACCTGTAGATGGCAGGGATTGAACCTGGGACCTTCTTCACGCAAAGTAATGTGTCTGCCACTGAGCTACAACCTTTCCTTGATTGCACAAAGGAGAGAAACTCCAACTATGGATGGGGAGATCCAATGTTTGGGTTCCCTTCCCCACCACTGCAGAAACTCCCTTGGCCCCAGTCTTATAGATATCATTGCTCCAACATTTGTAGGGCCAAAAAGGTAGATGTTTGGAGCAATTTAGGAGTAGGACATGTTCCATGTTCCCAGTTCCCCAACACATCCTGAAGCCAAGGCTGAATTATGCCAGCCTCAGGAACTGGCATGGCTCAATCCCATTTATTTCCATCCCATTGTGAGGATACTCCTCTGCCCTCAGTTCTGCCCTGCTGTTTCTGTATTGGAAAAGTATACTTTTTTGTAACATACAAGTGAGATGCCACTCCAAAGAACCCTGGAGAAGGGGCATTCGATCAGGTGGAAGAACTGCCTTTAGTTCCCCCGCTGAGCAGTAGGATTGCAGCCTAAAAATCTTATACAGAGAAGCCCAGAAATCAAAATGTAAAGCTAGTGTTACTGCTTCAAGTATATAGCACTGTTTTAAAGCTCTAGATTTGTGGCTCAAGAAGACAATTTCATGGTGATAATGCAAATATGGAAGAACACCAGTCTTACTTATGCCATGATTTGAATGTTAGTTAAAACCTTAATATCCTGAGCTTACAATGCTAGATCTTTATATCCTCAGTAAAGCAACTTGCTAAATTTAAAAAATGTCTCATATTTTATTTCCATTACTTGATCTACGCTACTACATTTTTTAAGGAGCAGAATTTAAATTTAAAAAATTAAAAATGTTATCCATAGATTACAAAGGCCAAGAAGCAGGCAAAGAATATATAAATATAATGGTATATAGTCAATGTGGGATATCGAATTATATGCTAGTATTCTTAAGTTTTGTGAATGGAAAGACAGGAAGTACTTTGGTTCATCAAGTGGCTACAGCCCTTTTCATTATGGTGGGTTATGGAAAGGGAAGTTGGAGGACATGACTAGATTTGTAGAGAAGGCAACTCTAGCACCAGCTACAACATGCATAGCTTGTGCTTTACGAGATGGAAAACAAATCATTGTGAAAAACAGTGATTTGATCAAAAACTCTTGACACTGATGAGAAATGGTTTAAGTTCAACTGAGTTCAATAGGATGTATTTCTGCACTGTAAAATTCTGAGTCTTCTCTTCTCCCCCTGCAATTGTATTGTAGGAAATGGCTTTTACACTGTAATGGGGGCAAAGGGAGGGATATAGTCCCCCTTCTGTTCCCATCAGTGACCATATCCAGATTGAGGAGCCCATGCCTATTGACTTTTTTAAAAAATGCCATTGCTCACGATGTCAAGTTTAGTTTGGCCTCCATGCATTGGATTGCACTGTTAATTTAATTCAGCTCTAGATTTGGTGCTTCATCGTGTCAGGTGCTCAGTTTGAAGGCATGTGGGTATCTTCTACCTCACTGATTCACCCCTTTATGCAACTGGCATCTGAAATAGTTAAAAAATAGTAAAGTAAAAATGTGGAATATTAATCCAAACATCACTGCTTAACTTACCCACTATTGTCATTACACTGTTCTGTCTTTGGCATTCCAGTTGGTTGAACTTTGACTGCAGGCTGATGGGGGAATTCTTCCCTGCTACTACTTCTGGATGTCTTATTAACATTCAGCACTGTGGACCGTCACATTTTGCTCTGGTGCTGAGAATGGCTGGTGGGCATTACTAGTTTTCCTCTTGAGAAGATGTGGTTCCATCCGGAGTTATCAGAGAGATGAACTCAGCATCCCTGAATCAGGTGCACAAGGGCCAGTATTTTGTTATCTTTGTTGTTTGACATCTATATGAAGCCTTTAGATGAGACTGCCCTGAGTTTTGGAGTTGGGTATCGCCAGTATGCTGGATGATACCTAGTTTTGTGTTTTCTTAACAAGCAGAAGGAGTGAAGTTTCTGCCTCAATATTAAATCAGTGTTTGGAGATGATGATCTAGTTAAACACACAGAGACTAGATCCAGACAAGATACAGGTGACATTGCTGGAGTTGGGGTCAACGGCTTTGGTGAGTGTTCTGTTCCAAGCAATGGCCTCAGTGGCCTCAGTATAACAGGAGTTCTGACCCAAGGCAATTCTGAAAAGCAGAGCAAGGAGAACTGAAGCAGGACAAGGTCTGGGTGCAGGAGAGAAGTGAAGCAAGAGTTACAGGATTCAGTGGCACCCTGGACAGCGCCACAGAGGACTCAGGTTGGACACTCTGTAAGAGCAGAGCTCAAATGCTGTTTCAGCACTAGTCGACCTCTGACTGAGACTTACATATACACACACCTCTGAGTAGGGAGAGGAGACTCCTCATTTAAAGGAGCCCACCATAGCTGTCAGCTGTAATGAAGCAGGGGAGTTTGCAGGTCAGCTCAGTGTGCTGAACAGGAATCAGAGGAAGGCAACATGACCTCCCCAACCTAGAGAGGAACTGACACAATGGAGTCCTCTGTTAGCAGTGCTTACAAAATAGTAGGGCTGAATTTGAGATCAATTTCTTCTCCCAATCTAAATACCTGACTTCATCTTCCAAAAGTGGGGAGTTTGACTTAAAAGTGAAATTTTTTTGTAGATGATTGGGTTGCCTAACTGTAATATGTTTGTACCTGGAACAGTTCCTGGACCTGGTGGTGCAGAGGGCAATTGTGGACAAAGGTGCAGTCCATCACATATGTTACATAGCCCCTGTCCTTTCTTGTAGAAGATGGATCTTGTTAACTTCATGTGTGGTGTTGAAAGCTGACTCCTCCAGCTCCTAAATGATATACTGGTTTGGGACAAGTAAATAACACCCTTGCTAAGTGCACACCCTTGCTAATTCTAACAGCATCTCTCAGCAATTTATGTATTCCTTTAATCTGACCCAACAATATACCTTCATTGAATTCAATCCATTGTTTTAGAGAGCTATCCTCTTCCTGGTTCTGGAAGCCAATGGAACTCAATCAGCACCTCATTTGAGAAAAAATTGACTTGTAACATTGATTCTCAAGGCGCTGGCTTAAGGTACCAAATTGATCCCATTTGTAGATTAGTGTCACAGCCTCTGTTTTATATGAACCTTCTTTTAAAATTAGTCCTTTTGGGCCATTTCCTAATATGGTAAAATGTTCTTCAGTGAGGTCATTGAAGTTTATGTGTAAATTCTGATAAATACTGAACACATTTTGGTATTTATGTTATTTTTTTCTATTAAATGCAGTGACTTAACTATATTTAAACCATACTTTATGAGATCCCACAGCTTATCTAGAAAATATCTCATCAAATTTATCCTATGCCATGGTAAACATCATATGGAATCATAGAATTGTAGAGTTGATGGGGACACCAGTGGACATCTAGCACAATCCCCTGAAATACAGGAATCTCAACACATGATGCTTCAACCAATTTGAAACCATACCCTGCTTATCTTTTGCAAATGTGCTAGCAGCTTTATTGCTGCATTGGGTGGGTTGGGGTGGGTACATGGAAGACAAATTCTTACAAGCCCTTCCTTTCTCAAACCTTGGCAAACTCTACTGAAAGAAATTTGACAACTTGTATTTGGGATCACCTAGACAAATATCTTCTTTCTCAACTGGATAAAGTGGCTTGGATCTTGAATGAGATCAGAGGAAAGAAAGTAATGAACTTTGGGGTCACAAAACCAAGGGACAATTATAGCTACAATTATACCTAATGTGTTCCCTTGACGATGGTCATGAAAGTTGGCTTGACTAAGCCCACCAAGTGCTTTTTGTTAATTTCTGCATTGTATTGAACTTTCATGCAATGTAAAAACCACTTCCCGAAACACGGTGGAATATAGCGCCAGTTTAGCACTCCTCTCTATGTTATTTGCAAACTGGATTCCCCCTGCCCCGAAAGCAAATAACATGGAAAAGAGTGCTAAGCTTGTGCTGTATTTCTGGAAATGGCTTTTCCATCGTGTGAAAGCTCAAATGTGATATGGAAATCAACCGCTAGTCAAGAAAAGTCAGGAAAATGGAAGAAAAGGCTGTGTGAATGTAGCCTATATCACTTGACTGACTTTCCCTCCCCAAATGCCAGCAGAAGAAACCACAGCCCTGCCCACAGAAACTGTCCAATTACAGAGCAGCACAACAATGAATAAAGATCTCTCTGTAACTCGGTGGGCTGTGTATTCTGACTACAGTGCTGAGCCTTTCCACTTGGCTGCTCTCATTAACAGGCCTTACATGACTAATGCGACTAAACATGATCTCATTCGCTGGTTGGCAGATAAACCTATTAAACACTGGCAAGAACCTCATTTCAAGAATAGGATCATCATCTCTCTGCCCAGGGAGGAGGACTTATTTAGATAAAGACTTAGGAATTCAGTCCCGTCCCCCCCGGCAAAAAAGTTGGCAGTTGTCTGTACAATGCAGAGCATTTTAAAATGTAGAGGTCCATAATGGGTCTGGCAGGGTTGCCATCAATACTCTTGATGAGATCTGTGTCAAAAGCTGAAGATGTCAGGAAACCTTGCTTCTCATGGTACTTGCAAAATGTTGCAGGCACTTCACTTTTGAGTCTTCTATTTCCTCTGAAAAATAAAGAATGTTTACAATGGAAGCCTCTTCAGGTCAAATAAATTCCACTGAGTTCCATAGGACTTACTCTCAGGCAAGCAGATATAGGGTTGCAGATAAAATGAGCAGAAAGCGTGCAAAAAAGAAGAATGAGGCTGTATACACGCTACATCTTTAAAGCACATTCGAAGCACATGCTTTCCCTCAGAGTTCTGGGAACTGTAGTTCTCAAGGGTTGCTGGGAATTGTAACTCTGTGAGGGGTAAACTACAGCACCCAGAATTCTTTGGGAAAAAGAATTGCCACATTCACAACCATACATTCAAAGCACTCTGATGCCACTTTGGGGCTTCCCCTCAAAAATCCTAAGTGCTGTATCTTGTTAAGAGTGCTGAGAGTTGTTAGGAATAGCTCTACTCCCCTCATAGAGATATAATTCCCAGCAATTTGGGGCAGAGGGATTGATTATTAAACCACTCTGAGAATTGCAGCTCTGGAAGGGCAATTGGGGCCTCCTAATAACTTCCAGCACCCTTTACAAACTACAGCTCCCAGAATTCTTTGAGGGAAGCCATGCCTGTTTAAAGTGTTATCATAAATGTATGGTGTGAATGTGGACAATGTATGCAATCTGAGTTGGTGGGTGGGCAGAGAGATTAACCTCTTTTTATCCTGATCTCTCATCAAGAGTGGAATTGTGGTTCCTATTTGACCTGAAAGGATGTGGGTCTTTAAGAGACTTGGCATATCTCTTAGAGTTTGTCATTCTGAAAGTCAGGAATGGAAGAATGCCCCTCCTGGTACGTAAATGAGCACAGCATCTGGTGAGGCACCAGGAACTCATGCCAGGTCCGAGCTCTGCCCTTCTACCAAGGACTGATATGCTCTCCACTTTGGAAATTAAAAAAAAAGATCTTTTTTGGCCTTAGGCCCTTGACCTTTCACTGAAAGACAGATGCTTCTGTGTATTTGTCATGCCTTATTATGAGTATTACAAGCAGGCAAATGATTCCTGGGTATTATATGCTTTCATACCCCTCTCTCTTTCATCTTTGCCTATCAAAATCCCTCGCTCTCTTTTATGAACATTCTCTCCCCCCTGCTCCCGCCCCCCAAAAATCCAGCCTCCACATGCTTTCTGAACTCACCCAAGCTTCTGGGCTTTTATTTTGATTTACTGACGTTGCTCCTATGCTTTTAATGGCAAACTGAAACACAAAAATGGGGGTGGGGAGAGTGTTGAAGGTATTGTGATGGCAAAAGATGCTCAACATTGAGGCAATGCTACTGCTAAAGGGACAAGGGCATTGCCGCAGGCACAGGGGTGGCCACTTTATACATTAGAGGTTTGTTGTTGTTTTTAATAAATGGCAAACAATAACATTCTGGGTACCCTCCAGCCACCAAGAAAAGGCGCTCATTTCTGTAAACAGCATACCTGAGCACACATCTGATAAGGCTTGTGAATGAAACATTTGGGTACCATTTGGCATTTTTGATTAAAGAGCGAGATTGTAGGATTTAAGAGCCCTCCTTTGCAGATAACATGCATAGTTGCCACTGATCTATTCAACTGATATATTTAGAAAGATCATTTGAAGGAAGATCTCACAGCCTATTGAGTTTGAAGCTGTTCCAGACATTCAGTTTTTCCCCCCTCCCTACAGCCAAATTCTCCAAGGTAAATGGGCTAAAATATTTTGCTGGAGGGGATACTTTCCTTTCAAGGTTCATTCCTTTGCATAAGAAATATACTAAAGGAGTGATGAGAGTTGGGCGGGGGAGAGAATCAAAGACAAAACAGAAAAATCAAATATTCTTAAAGGCTTTGGGATTTTGTTTTGCTTTTACCAATTGTGCAAGTCCCCCCGCCCCCTGCAAAATGCTAGGCATATGTAAGTAATACAATAGCATTCACATTTAACTTGTTTTTTAAAATATTCGCTCGCATCCCTTGTCCTTCTGATATTATATGATTAGATGAAAAGACCCTTTGCAACTTATTTCAGATATCTGCTACAGACAAGTCATCTGCTAATTATCCTGACAGACGCAACATGCGTATAAGCCTCTGAGAGCAGGGTTTCAGAAATGGATGGCACAGAGGGAAATATCCTGCTACTCTTTGTATCATGAATATGTTTCATATTTATATTATCTATTTTTTGCTAATAATTTCTTGTAAATAACCTGTCTGTCCACATTTTGTGTGTGTGTGTGTGTGTGTGTGTGTGTGTGTGTGAACACACATAAACGTACACAATACACACATATAGTGCTTTCTTTTGTGTCTATGCTAATTATACTGGGATTGCTTATATTGCTGAAACCAGGCTGGATAACAACTTTTTTTTAGTATCTCCCCGTCTGTCTTGGTGTGCAGGGCTAAGGGGCACATAATCATTATGCAAGATGCCACTCTAGAACAGATTTTCCTGTTTCACTTCATCCATTTCATTTTTCTCCCCAGCGCCGCTTAGTATCTCCTTTTGCCCTGAACAATTCTATTGCAAAATAAGCAGCGCCTGCTATTATTAAAAGGGATTCTTGCCAGGAGGTAAAGCAAACAAATAAAATCAAGGGGAAATTTGCTCCGAGAAGATTTGCTTACTTATTCTGCGGACTGGAGATAGTATAGTCTTACACTCATTGAAATTGTCTTCCCCCCTTTCTTTCCTCCCGGGTTCTAAGAAAATGTGCCTAAAGCTATTATCGTATCTATCGACTCTGTGGGATTTAACTGACGTGGCTCCTTTTCCCCAAGTGGCGAGAAAATGACCTCTGTGAGGCAAAGTTCAAGCTGAGCAAAAGCTCCGAGAGCGACATTAGAGACCTGTCAGTTGCTCGGTAGGATAAAAGTGTAAAATTATATGTGATGCACAGTTCAGTCACATCAAACAGCAAAGAAATGTTTACTGAATGAACTACACAGTTGCTAATTACACTTTCCCCTTAAGTATGCACATTATGATGGGTAACAAATACCAAGAGATTCTGGATAGGGAAAGCTTCTAATAAGTATGCAACAATTGCATCAGGCATGTTTTTGCACCTTAATTTCTTTTGGTACTTATTTATACTGCAGAGACAAATTTGGCTTGTCATCATGTGCACCATGTTTATCTGTTGACCTCCCATGCAATACCCTTTTTAAAAAAAAAAAAATTAAATAAGAGATCTCCCCTCTATCTTTCATGCAAATGAGCAAACAAGGGGGGAGGGAATAGAGATTTGCACCACGTAAGGCATACACAGAACCTTTCAGTAATTAAGTGACTCAGTAATCAAGCTACTCATGTGATGAGATCTAATAATAACCATGGAGACATTCAAATGATACCACAAAAAGGGACAGGATGCTGGTATTTCACCCAGTCCATTCCTTTCCTATTTCTCTCATTAGCTGGATGATTTCACCTAGTCCTGGTGACTGACAAATCTGTCAGTTCTAGTTTCTCCCTGTTGCTCATTTTCAGTCTTAAATGCAGCAATCTTTCTTATTTTTTATTATTTTATTTATTCCTCATGAAATTTCATCAACATTTTAGTGAAAATTTCTCCTAATGCACACATTTTTGCATGCCATTTTAATGAATAAACTTTTTTTGCAATGTGTAAATTTCCCTAATATAATGCATTTTTGTATGTCATTTTCACTGATATCTGCATTTTTATGCATGCTTTCCCTGGCTACATGCATTTTTGTACACATTGTTTGATCAGAGAACATTGCTGCAAAATTTAGAGAAATGTGATTTCAAAGGATAGTGATGTATTACTTTGTATGTTGGTTCACAAAGTGCAAAGTAGGTAGTTTTGCAATAAATTGCAAACAGAATCCCACTTCTCCCCATCCCTACTTAGTCCTTTCCTTTCTCATGAGTTAGTTCTGCCGTGTGTGCACACCTCAATAATTTTGGCTTAACTAGGGAAATTGTATGTGGTGAACTGTCTAAAGAACAATGTTATGGATGGCCTAGATGAATGCTTCAGATAAATAAAAACATTTCTGAAATTAACCATAGATTGGTGCTTGCACTTTCGGCCACAGCTTCCATTTGCTTGAATATTCTTTTTCCTCTAAGTTACCTATCCCTTCATAGTACACACAAATAACCAAAAGGGAAAAGCAAACCTGATGACGTGACCAAGGATTCTTTTTTCTGAGACAATTACTGATGAGCACCAGTGCTTCTTAACGTTAGGGAAACACTGCACAAAAAGAATTGTGGTGCAGCCTCATAAACAGCCACATCACTTTTGCTTTTTCAGATTATTTTAGCAAAGTGTATACATACATCCGAAACACTTTGTACAATGAGAACCTTGATACAATCATGTCTATGAGGTTCCCTCACGTTTTTGCAGTGTTTCATCAATGCACATACATGTGCCACATGGGGGATGGGGGGGCAGGGAGGAAAGATGAAGGAAATAGAAAGCTTCAGTAAACTGAATTCTGTACAAAATTTAGATATAGCATGTGTCCTATGATGCAATGGCCCTGCTATATCACTTCCAGTTTCAAAACAAGACCAAGGAACTCCTAAATCCAGGGAGAAATTTAAATGTGGAATATTATGAACACATTTTTAAAAGTACAGTCCATTCACCTACAGAAGTATCCAGCCAGAGCAAAAAATACATTTGTGGTTCAGATAAGTAATCTGCGGCAGCAATCTGAAGAACTACTTATGCTTGTCTAGCAGTCAGTAATGGGATGTTCCCCGCTAATTTATTTTCTTTTAGTAGCAAGCTACAATGCTACATTAATAACATTTGAAACTCCGTATGGTCAATGGTGGCTGAGGGGATGGTTCATAAGAACATAAGACAAGCATTCTGAATCAGACCGAAGGCCCATCTTGCCCAGCATCCTGTTCCAACACTAGGCAGTCAGATGCCTGTGAGAAGTCTGCAAGTTGGACATGAGTGCAACAGGAGTCTGCCCAGCTATGATTCCTAGAAGCTGGTATTCAGAGGCATCCTGACAGGGGAGCTAGAACATAGGCATTTACAGCCTTGCCCTCCATAAATTTGTATAATGCTATTTTTAAGCCATCCAAGTTGGTGGTCATTACTGTCTCTCTTAGTTGCAACCACCAGAGGCCACTCTATGGTGATCAAGAGGCAGGGGGGGTTCACACCCATACCTTAATGTGCCAGGATGTAGCAGTGAGATCAGGGCATACTTCAGCCAGCATTGTGCAAGGATATATTCATTGGATGGATCTTCTCCACTGGCAAGCACTGCTGATGTTAGCCATCAGAACACATGCAACCCATCATGGTTGGGGAGTGAACTGCCACACTGCTTGCCAGTGCTGACAGTTTCAAATGTTGTTTGCTCTGTCACACTGGGCACTGCCTTCCTAAACTCCTTTTAGGTACGCAGAACTAACCAAGCAGTTCTTTGAATCCCAAGCTATGTGTTCAAATATATGCCTCGTATAATTTGCAATGTTCTTATAACCTCTAGGGACTCCATGCATTGTTTCCTTGCACTTCTCAGATTTGGAAACTAATGCATGTATTACTGCCAGTATAGCAACCAGTATTGGGTTGTCAGGGAAAGGGAATCAATATATTTATTTTTCCAGAGGCCACTATAGAAAGGACTTCAGTAATGCACACCCTTTGGGAGGCAAGCTTCCATAGGACGAGACTTTCTTAAGCAGGGCACTATCACAGAAAGGCCTTCTCCCTAGTAACCAGCTGCGCATTTACTGATAATTACCCAGAAAAGTTCTTCAAATGATCCTCTCAGCACACAGGGAGACTGATGTGAAAGCAGGCATTCCATTAGTAATGTTAATGAGTTTCCCTTGCTTCTATATAGAGGTTCTCCGGAGGATCATAGAATCATAGAATCATAGAGTTGGAAGAGACCACAAGGGCCATCGAGTCCAACCCCCTGCCAAGCAGGAAACACCATCAGAGCACTCCTGACATATGGTTGTCAAGCCTCTGCTTAAAGACCTCCAAAGAAGGAGACTCCACCACACTCCTTGGCAGCAAATTCCACTGTCGAACAGCTCTTACTGTCAGGAAGTTCTTCCTAATGTTTAGGTGGAATCTTCTTTCTTGTAGTTTGGATCCATTGCTCCGTGTCCACTTCTCTGGAGCAGCAGAAAACAACCTTTCTCCCTCCTCTATGTGACATCCTTTTATATATTTGAACATGGCTATCATATCACCCCTTAACCTCCTCTTCTCCAGGCTAAACATGCCCAGCCCTCTTAGTCGTTCCTCAGAAGGCATCGTTTCCAGGCCTTTGACCATTTTGGTTGCCCTCCTCTGGACACGTTCCAGTTTGTCAGTGTCCTTCTTGAACTGTGGTGCCCAGAACTGGACACAGTACTCCAGGTGAGGTCTGACCAGAGCAGAATACAGTGGCACTATTACTTCCCTTGATCTAGATGCTATACTCCTATTGATGCAGCCCAGAATTGCATTGGCTTTTTAGCTGCCGCGTCACACTGTTGGCTCATGTCAAGTTTGTGGTCAACCAAGACTCCTAGATCCTTTTCACATGTACTGCTCTCAAGCCAGGTGTCCCCATCTTGTATTTGTGCCTCTCATTTTTTTGCCCAAGTGCAATACTTTACATTTCTCCCTGTTAAAATTCATCTTGTTTGTTTTGGCCCAGTTCTCTAATCTGTCAAGGTCGTTTTGAAGTGTGATCCTGTCCTCTGGGGTGTTAGCCACCCCTCCCAATTTGGTGTCATCTGCAAATTTGATCAGGATGCCCTTGAGTCCATCATCCAAGTCGTTGATAAAGATGTTGAATAAGACCGGGCCCAAGACAGAACCTTGTGGCACCCCACTAGTCACTCTTCTCCAGGATGAAGAGGAACCATTGATGAGCACCCTTTGGGTTCGGTCAGTCAGCCAGTTACAAATCCACTGAGTGGTAGCATAGTCTGAGGCCCTATGCACATGTCCATGAACCATATCACCATCATCATCACCACCACCTCCATGAGTGCATGTCATTTGAGTACAAGGGGACATCTCAGCCAAAGTTAGCACTTAATGTATATGAGAGACAAGAAGCAGTACTGATCAACTGAATCTAGACAAGAAAATTGGGCTGTGAGGGGATTCACTGGAGCTTGGGGGGGGTGTATAGACCAAATTCTTACCAACAACTGTGTTTATAAACTGGGTATGTATGTAATACTCTTTAATGGTCACCTGTATGAGTCCTTTCTCCTCTAGTGATCTACTCAGTCACTATGATCAGTTGATAAAGCCCTCTAGGAAGGATTGTTTAGTGCCAGTTGTTTAGTGTGGTGGCTCCCACTCTGTGAAATCATCTCCCTTTTATGTCACATATTTTAAAAAGGTAAAGATAAAGAATACCTGGACGGTTAAGTCCATTCAAATTTGAATATGGGATGCAGCGCTTATCTCTGCTTTTAGGCTGAGGGAACTGGCGTTTGTCTGCAGACAGTTTTTCCGGGTCATGTGGACAGTGTGACTTTTCCGGGTCTTTCTGGCACACGGGATATTATAATAAGTGCCAGAGTGCACAGAAACTCTGCTTACCTTCCCGCCGCAGCGGTATCTATTTATCTACTTGCACTGGTGGGCTTTCAAACAGCTAAGTTGGCAGCAGCTGGGACAAAGCATATTACATCTGTTGGACAGAGACATGTCCTTTTTACAGAACTTCATAGCAACCAGGATGTTTGGACTGTATGTATACCAAATTCCAGCTTTCTATCTGTTGTGGAAACGTTTTATAATTTATACCCAGTTAGTGTATTCACCAGTGTCATGGTTTTAATTGTTTTAAACATTTTGACATGGTAAATTTCATCATATTACGGATATGCTATTATTATTTTATTTATATACTGCTTTACGCCAAAATGACTTCCAAGCAGTTTACAAAGACCTACATGCATTTAACGCATGCATTAAAATATAAACATCCATTATGAAAATACACAATAAACCAATCTCATTGAAACAATACATTGAAATGGGAGACTCGGGTCAAGTCATCACCGGTAAGCCTGTGTAAACAGGTGCATCTTTAAAAACAGATGGAATGCCAATACAGACAGGGGCCTTCACCATCCAGCAACGAAAACACTCCATAGCATCAGTGCCATCTGTGAAAAGGCCCACCTCCATGTCACCACAAGCTGATAAGCATTAGGCCATTGTAGGACTAACCAGGTTCCATCTGCTGATATCAATGCCTTTGCTGAGAACCGGGGGGGAATTGGTCTTTCTGGTAAACTGGTCCAGAGTTTTCCAAGACTTTATAACAATATACTTCACCTATCCCACCTTTGTTCTTTTCTTCTCTTACTTTTGCAACAAATATGCAGGACACACAAGACCAAGCAGAAGTGAGCCTCAGTCTTTTATTTACATCAGGGATTGGGAACAACCTTCAGATGTTCATGGAATCATAGAATTGTAATGTTGGAAGGGACCCCAAGGGTTATCCTGTCCAACCACATGCAGTGTAGGAATCTAAACTGAAGTAATCTAAACTAAAGATTACTTGGACTCCCAGCTGTTATCAGTTCTAGCCAGCTTGGCCAATGATCAGAGTTGATGGGCACTGTAGTCCAGAAATATCCCCTACCTGGTTCCCATGGTGAAATTCACCACAGCCTGTTGTTGGGCATCTCTTAATAGAGTGCCTCTTTCCAAGTCCAAAGAATGGTTATCTATTCTTGTGACAAAATGCACTTGTATACATGACTCAACCAGTCATGGGAACAGTGCACATTTTAATTACTAAGCATTTTCAACAACATTGAATTGTTCTTGGTTTTTTAATTGTGGAGCTTCCTCAATTCTCTGTTTTATTTGTCATTAATTTTGATTTGCTTCTACAAAATTTACACAGAAGTTAGATCATGTCCAGTCTTTATAGAGCATTTCTTCTTATTTGTTTGCAGAGAGGTGATACATCAATGAACATGCACCCTGAATTCATCTGAATTTGCTTCCCTTGTGGTTATACATCTTCTCGCGAGTCGTTTATTCATCCCACACTTTTCAGTGCATTTCCCTGTCACTTTCCTAACTGCAAAATGTTCAGGATTTTTGTGTGTATTTGCTGTACCAGGGTTACAGAGCAGTTCAATCCGCTTTAATTGTGCAAACCTAAATTTCCAATATGCACTAGAATCCCACCTGCAAAATCCTGGCAATCTAAGAGCAACCAAAGCTGCACCAGGTAGCTTAAAGTTAAGACTGTATAACCCCTGCAGAATACTAACTGGTTCTATGTACAAGCACACACCTATCCTCCTCAAGCAACATATTATGACAATGACACACCACGCCAAGACATGCCGGTCCTGAGAAATTGTTTGATTAGCTTGTGTATTGTAAAACATCTTTCTCTTGGCAAGTACTTAAGCCCGCAAGAGCTGCCAAGCTGGAGGCACTATGGCTCACACTATAAGTCTTCCTGCAGTCCTCTGGGCCACTCTGTAACAAGAGCTACCATTTTGCTGTCACTGTCGCTTCACATATTCAGTCTCTAAAGCTCTGTTTGTTGTTTCATTCGCTTCTATGTCTCCCTTAGGAACTTCTTCATTTTAATATAAATAGAGCGCTTTATCATGCAGTGGCAAAGCATCATGGAAGACACAACTCTCAATATTACTGGAGATGATGCATACAGATGAATCTGGTGGCAGGTCACAAACAAAGGAACGTAATGAAAGAAAACTCTTCTCTGGTGATAGAGAGACAGATACGACTGGACGTGATATATGGTTATAAGGCACTAAATATAGCTATATTTTATATGAATAGGTGTTTTACGCTTCGTATTTATCATTTAGGAAAAGTTTATGAAAAATAAAAAAGGAGGGGATATAAAGGGTTCTGGTCACACCAATAACTCTCTCTTTCTTTTAATGGCATTTACAAAGATCAGAGTTATGGCATACTTAGTGAAGCTTTTTCTGACAAGGGCCTGCAAGGCAGAAAAACTGTTCTTCTCCTGATAAACAAGAGCAAAGGCCTCCCCTCTGACAGATAGGTTTGTGTTGTACAGGGAGATTTTGACATTTGGGGCAGTTTCAAACCAATGCCTGCCTGTCCCATCCCCCTGCCCAATCGGTGATACTCATAATATCACAGTTTGGTGTTTTAATTTAGCCAGCTCGCAATGCTCAGCTCTGTTATCAAGCGCAATTTTCCCAAAAAGTGCTTTTCTAGCATGGAAGGTTGAAAGAGATTCTATGTGCATGTACCATCTGCATTCAGCAGACTGGGCGCCTGAAGTTGGCTTCTTCCTGACACAGGTGCAGAATCTTGACAAGAGTCTGTAGTTTATTGCTGCGAAACACTGTGAACTATAAGGCCAGCTGCACTGAAATGGGTGCTTGCGCAATGTTATCTTAATCTTAACGTACTACAATTTCCAGGGGGCATTAGGATGATATGTGTGACACCATCAGCACACCTGTCAACCTTGGAGCCAGGAGGGAACTCTTGCAATGTTCACTGAGAGGCCTTGTAAACACTGACACCATGCCAAACCAAACTGTGCCCCATCCTGACTGTTGACATTCCTTGTGTTCACGTGTTTCCTTTTTAGTATTCCTCTGACCCAAGCTGTAGTTTTCCTATTCCCTTCACTAACATGATTCATTTTCCTACCTGCAATGGGATCTGCCTTCGAGAGTACCCACATTTTGTCATCAATATTACACAACTTCTAACACTTCTTCCCAGTTCCTTTCACAGAACTGGGCACACCAGTTTACGGCAGCTTCACAGAATCGGGCACACCAAAAAATATATGCCTACGGCCTCCATCCCTCCTCTCCCTGCCTTGCCTTTCCAACTTTTTAGGCTTTCAATAATGGGGCTAGCCACCAATTAAATGAATCTTAGCCAATAGGTAGATCAATTAATTAAACTCTTTATAAATACGCATTTGAGAAAAAGCATAGGAACAAGGGACTCTGCCTTATTCCATGTCAGACCATTGGTCCATCTAGTTCAGTTCTGTCTACAGTAACTGGCAATAGCTCTCCAGGTTTTCAAGGCAGGGTCCTCTCTCAGTCCTACCTGAGGGTTTGAACCTGGAGCCACCTGCATGCAAAGTGGATGCTCTACCACTGAGCTATGGCCCTTATGACCTTAGTCCTAAAGAAAAATGCATTTGCTTTTATGTGATTTGGGACAGCATACCCCAAGGGTCACTTTTATCTACATTGACCTGCCTGAACATTAAGGTCAACACCAGATGATCTTCTCCAGGTTCCCTGCCGAATGAGGAACGGAAGCAACTGAGGTGGACCACAAAATGGCGCATCCGCACATGCACACTCCACCAGGGAAGAAGGGGTTAGTGATGAACTACATCAAGAACACGGGGGCAATAAATATCTACATCAAGAACAAGAGTGTGAGGAGACCAGCAGCACCTCCTCTTCACCAACAGGCCATTGTAGGGCAGCATGGGGGATGTGCTACTCAGGAGGTGACAGATCCAGCCTCCAAAGAATGTGCTGCAGTGGTTGCTGAGACAGCAGCAGGTTATGCATTCCTTGGAGGCTGGATCTGCTGTCCCTGTGGATCCTGCCCCCCCCCCAAGGTGGTTGCCTCATCTTGCCTCATGGGTGGGCTAGCCCTGGTGGTACCCTCCCCTTTGGAATTCTCTCCCCACCTCGTAACTTCCCTGTTATCTTTTCAGTAGCAGGCAAACGTTTTTGCATTTCCCCCAGGCATCTTAAAAGCAAAGAAATTGGTAGCTTCGAATTGGAGCTGTTTTAAGGTTGCTTCCATTTTATTTTGGTATTCTACAATGTTTAAATTTGAAGTTGTCAATTTAATTGTGAGGAGCAGGAGTATAAATCTATAAATAAGTATGCCTAATACAAAACACTGATTTACTTTAATTAGGTTGAAGTTGAAATCTTATAACTGAGAGTAAGCACTGTTGAAGCAAGTTCTTCTAAGCAGGCATATATATAGTGCTGAAACTCTTTCTTTAAAAAAAGGACCGACTTCTTTGCTCTGTAAACTACTAATACACTGAGATGGCATTATTACAGATAAATTCCTGTAAAGAGCCATTACTAGTTGTTAATCAGTGATCAGACCTCTCTGATCATAAATATTTTCATCTTCTAATATTTGAAGCAGTTGTGATGCTTTTACTTGTATAAACGGACATACAATACCATTAAACGATGCCATTTGTAAGGGACGAATATAAAAAACTGCACAACTGGTTAAAACAAATGCAAACTAATTTGTGCTAATTTAAAAACAGAAGATAAAGTTACACTGCACATCACATCCTGAACGCTGTGTGTGTGTTCCAGATATTTGGAAAATGTTGAGATCCAGTTACAAATTCTAAAGTAGAAAATATGAGACCATGAAATTCGGTCGTTAGAATGCAGAACATTTGTACATTGTAAATACCACAAGACGACTTAGATTGCATGAACAGAATTGGCAAGCAGCTATTTCTTTAGTTTTATGTTGCTTTTAATCTCTATTTATTTAATCTTATACCTACCACCATTCTTAAGAACACATACAGATTTATATTTATATTTTCTTTTCTTTTCTTTTTTTTTAAAAAGCCTATTAAAAATAGTTTATTAAATTAAAATCCAAATTAGTCACTAGTGGGGAGAGAGACTAAAGCTCAACAGTTATGAAACTGTTATAAAACAGCAGTGGTAATTAAAACTTCAGCCTGTAAGAGCCTGCTGGAACAACTAAATATCACAATTGTATGTTTTGTACCGCCGTTGAATGTGCTGCTGGCTGCTACTACCGATTGGTTTAGTGAGGTCCTTGGATCATCCCCACTGGGGTCAGCCAGAACCCTGGCAGAGTGCTGAGAAGACAGTCAAACTTGACTTATCTAGAGGAAATAAGAGCTGTAACAAGGTGTCTATAGATTAAGCAGGCCTTTGGCTGATCAACATTCTATGGCCTTTTAATTGTTTTTGTGGGAGCAGGGTTATTGGTTTGTTTTTGTGTTATGTATTTTGGGTACTCATTTTGTATTTTCATATTGTGAACTGCCCTGTGATCTTCAGAACAAGGCGGTATACAAATTTAATTAATAAATAAAGTACAGTGGTACCTCGGGTTACAGACGCTAACCCAGAAATAGTACCTCGGGTTAAGAACTTTGCTTCAGGATGAGAACAGAAATCACGCTGCAGCAGCGGGAGGCCCCATTAGCTAAAGTAGTATCTCAGGTTAAGAATAGTTTCAGGTTAAGAACGGACCTCCAGAACGAATTAAGTTCTTAATCCGAGGTACCGCTGTAAGCCTCTAGAAAGTAAGAGCAGTGGCACAAAAGTCTTTGCTGTGTGTTATTCCATGTACCCAGGCCCAGATTCAACTAACCAGGCATGCTAGTGGAAGCCCTCCCACTAGTACAAACGGGCTTCACCCTTCATCTTGATGTGCAGTCCCTACATCTCCCCCTAATTCACTCTTGAGGTTCAGGAGACCCCCCCCCTCCTAGAACAGCGGATGGGAGAAGAGCCTCTGGCAAGCGAAAATGTTTGTTCCAATGGAATGATCAGTAGAGCACAACAGTGAATTACTTCTCATGGTTGCTTTCATGTACTAAGATTACTTTTGAGTCTTTGAGGTCTGCCTAGGGCTTGCTGATTGGAAGGTTGGTGGTTCGAATCCCCGCGACGGGGTGAGCTCCCGTTGCTTGGTCTCTGCTCCTGTCAACTTAGCAGTTCAAAAGCACATCAAACTGCAAGTAGATAAATAGGAACCGCTCTGGCAGGAAGGTAAACGGCGTTTGCATGCGCTGCTCTGATTTGCCAGAAGCGGCTTAGTCATGCTGGCCACGTGACCTGGAACCTGTGTGCGGACAAACACCAGCTCCCTCAGCCAGTAAAGAGAGATGAGCGCTGCAACCCCAGAGTGGTCCACGACTGGACCTAATGGTCAGGGGTCCCTTTACCTTTACTGTCTATGTGCACCAGGGTCAACTCCTGCTTACTTGTACCTGTCCCTGACAGCTCATTGTCCCCGTTTTTGCTTTTGAGGGAGATTCTTGGCAGGGGCAGAAATGCACCTTAACCTTTTGATTACTGCTTGTAAATGAAGAAAAACGAATGCTTGCAGCTACCATTCTATGCCCAGTCACCTGGGAGTAAACCCCACTGTACATACTGGAAAGTACTCCTGGGTAAACATGGATGGGGGACTTATGCACATTTAAATGATTTCCTCACATATGATTCATCCTTTTCTCTGGGAAATCTTGATGTGTGATACTTTAAGAAAGCACAAATCTGTCTTGGCAGCAAGAATACATAAAATAAAACCCTACAGCCTGATTTTCTCAGTGTCAGGAATGCCATCACTGAATAGGATCAGATACAATAGCCCTAATTCTTTGGATTTAGATTCGTCGGGGGGGGGGGTGTGTGCAATGTTTGTATACTACGAAATAATTACTTTCTTAGGCAATGTTTCAGTAGCTTAACCTTCCTTTTGCTTTGTGCTCTAAGGTTTTTCTTCACCTGTGTAGAAACTTCACCACCACACAGCTGTTAATTTCAGCAGAGTGGCGCCCTGAGCTATTCCTGTGGTCAGCTCCATCTGACATCTGACATTGTATAGTACAATTTTTCTGTTCTGGAGCCTTCTCCATCCTGAAAGTTTACATAAATATCTTTCCCCGATGCTTTAATCTGTAGGCACAAGTATTTATATATAATCAACTGTGCTTTATAGGAATAGTACTGCACTGACAATGTCAGGAGACTTTTGCATGCCTAAAATCAGCCTAATGTTGGCATAGTCAGGGGCCGATTTCATGATGGGTTTGCTTGGTTGACTTAACACATGGGATAAATATTACAAAAAGGCATGGTTTCATTGCAAAGTGTATTATTTAGCACATTACACTGTGCCAATTCTGCAAACTGCTAGAGGATGCACCTGCCCCAGACAGGTTTGTTCAAATTGTTGCCTATTGGCCATGATAGTTATGCTCTTCCTGCATGATTGGTGGTAATAATGATTCTGAATACCAGTTGCTGGAAGCCACAGAAAGGGAGAGAGTTCCTGCGCTCAGTCCTGCTTGCCAGTTTCCCATAGGCAACAGGTTGGCCCCTGGCCTGATCCAGAGGGCTCTTATGTTCTTAAATGTTCATTTTTCTTGTTTGACTGCCACTATTGGCATTGCTGCAACCAATAATGGTACCTTGAGAAAATGTGTGAGCATCATGTTGAGATAAGGCTTCTTTGTTTGATGGAAGCATCTAAACACATTTAAACTAATCTGGGCTTTGTGGAGAAGAAGAAAAATCAGGAATCTGAAATTACAGCTCATGCAAATGTTAGACATGAAAGCCTAACTTGAAACAAATTGCAACAATACTTGTTCTTAGTAAAACATGTTATTGACTTGGGTGAGCATGACACTAAGCAAGGACTAACTAGCTCAGGATCTGGCCACATGTCAGCACCCCAAACTTTGTGCCTGCGGGAGGCATTTAAGCGTGCAGAAGAGAGTAGAGTGAGATGTGCAGAAACAGAATGAAGCAGGCCATAATTTCGATTGGCAAAGCTTCGGGAAAGTAATTGTGTGGCATGCAGACAAAGATCCCAAGTCAGAGAATATGCTTATTTTCTGCAATGTACCAAGCAGCCTACTTGCTTTAGTGAATGCTGGGAGGAGTAGCGTGCAGGCAATCTGCAACAGAAACCAATCCAATAAAAACATCATATCACCATTACAGTAGGCAAAGATTATGCAGCTGAAAGCATTCATTCATAAATGCAACCCTGTTCACAACTGGCATGCTTCCCAATTCCTGGAGCCAGGAGCCACTCACCTACAGGGCCATCACTGATTATTGAAAACCACCATAGAATTGTAGAGTTGGACCACAAAGGTCATGTGATCCAATCTCCTGCAATGCATGAAACTTTTGCCCAATGTGGGGCTCAAACCCAAGACCCTGAGATTAAGAGCCTCATGCTCTACCCACTGAGCTATCTGTCTTCTCCTTTGTTGTGTAAGGCTGGATTTTATCATCCCTATTGGTTTAAAGCCTATGTATAATAGGCACTTGCACATGGCAAAGTTATCTGAAAACTCTTTCTCTTGGGCTAAAGTAGGCCT